CACAGCCGACGGCGTGTGCAAAGTGGGGAGAGTACGCGATGAAGACGAGAGGTCTGATCGCAGGGGTGGGCCGGAGGACTTGCGTAACCTCGCTTGCTTCCTCCGATTAACCGGGGGACGGGAAAGTGGACGCCGACCTTGCGTCGGACGAGAGATTTTGGGTGCCGACCGAAGTTGGTAGGTGGCAAGATTTAAGGATATCACGGATTTATCGTCTGCATGGTCGTCAGCGATGACGAGGTCGCCTTCTTCAGGCGAGAGGGAGGGGCCAGTGAGACCGTTGCCGTTAGCAATTCCTTCATGCTCCTCGCCCTCTAGCTCCAGGGCGCCAGAGTCATCATCATAGTCACGGTCAAATATGGCCCTATTACTTGATGGGACATGGTTACCACCAGAAGTGGACAGGAAGGGTGAAGTAGGGGAAACCGGCTGGGAGGCACTAGTTGCAGAGCCCAGCAACGCACTGGATTGGCCGTCCAGGAAAGCTGAAGAGGCAGACTCGCCAAACAAGGTACTAGCGGCAGGTTCACGCATCAGCATCGAGTGATAGGGTTGACCATGTAACCGATGACTGAGAGAATGGGACGGAGGCAGATCGTCTAGACTACTCGAGTAATAGGCGCCAGACTGGGAGGAACACGAGTTTCTGATGCCCCTTGAAATTAAAATATAAAGTTACGATTTGAGTCTGTGAAAATTAATAAAAGAAGACACTGTAAATGGATCACACTAACGTAATTTGGTGCTTAAAGGTAATTCTTTATACTGTAGTTGAGAATTTGCGTTGCCTGTGTGCTCCGATGCGACAAACAAGACGTTAATAGATCTTGGCTTGGTCTTGAAAAGAGAAACATCAACCAGCAGACTCGATAGGTCTCAAGATTAGGAGGGTAAAACGGGCTAATCCTGGGGGTTTCCGATAACGGATTGGTGGACGAAAATTAGCATGGGATCACTGTCTTCGATCAGGTTTCGTACAGGGTTAAAGTCCACTTTTATTGGCTATGCAGAAGACTCTTAAACCCGGGCGTAAAGCACAGCTAAAATTGCCGGAGGTTCAAACATTCGTGAAACATTGGTGACCACAACAGCGAACGAGGTTAACATTACAGAGGAAGGTCCTAAGGTGTCAGAGAAGAATGTTACTGTACTGTGTTTACAATGAATTAATTAAACGAGAGCAATTCTGAACGTTAGGGTTCTGGCGGCTTACCGATAACGAACTTTGGCATGAGTCATAATGTGTGACTTGAGGTTTGTCGACTGCGCAAAGCGCTTAGAACAGCCCTCGAATGGACACATATATGGACGATCACCTGTGTGAATACGAACGTGAGTCCGGAGGTTGAAATCCAATGAAAACCGTTTGCCACAGCCCTGAAAATGTAAGATACGGATAGTAAGCATTATCCAGAAAAAAAATAAAAAACATGCAGATAAGAGGAAAATGCGAATGCAATTGGTGACCTGAAGTAGGCTCAACATTTCTTCAAGTGTAGAAAAGCGCGCTTGGAGGCCATATATTGGAATATACCCAACATACGACTGTAACTGGGTGAAAAGTGCAAGAACTGGAAAAACGGTCGTAAAAAAAGTCAGTCGCATGACTGGTCAGACAGACGCACATCAGTTCTGCTGGCCATGACAAAAGTGGCTTTTAGTCGGGCGAATAAACGGTGGATAACAAACTGGAGGGGGGCAGTGGTGTA